TCGGGTGGCAGGGGTCCACCCCCTTCCCTCACTGTCTCTCTCAATTGCATGGGATCTTCAAGGGGGTGCTGTCTGCCTATGCCTGTTTACCCATTTGTCCATGTTTCTCTTTCCTCTTTTTTTTTTTTTAATAAAATATATTTTATTGATTTTTCACAGAGAGGAAGGGAGAGAGATAGAGAGCTAGAAACGTCGATGAGAGAGAGTCATCGATCAGCTGCCTCTTGCACACCCTCCACTGGGGATGTGCCCGCAACCAATGTACATGCCCTTGACCGGAATCGAACCTGGGACCTTTCAGTCCGCAGACCGATGCTCTACCACCGAGCCAAACCGGCTTCGACTCTTTCCTCTTTTCATTCTCCTCTTCCTCCCATAAGGCCCAGGGAACTGGGGGTGGGGGGCGGGGGGAGCCCAGATTCTTGCTCCGTGTGGGGGAGGAGCCAGACTCAGATCTTAGACAAGGCTAACAGCAGCTACTGCACCTCGGAGTGGGGCATGGAGAGGGAATACTTCGTAGCTACTACCCAGAGAGTCACCACCTGGAAGCATGGGCGTGTGTGTGTGTGTGTGTGTGTGTGTGTGTGTGTGTTGGGGAGGTGGAGGGAGAGTGTGGAGGGGGGTTATGCCTTGCAGGGAGTGGCTGAGAGGTTCCTGTTTGCCAGGCTAGCCAGAGCCATGGGGATGGTGAGATGGCAGGAGCAGCAGCAGCTCTGGGGACCGGGGGAAGCTGCTCTGAAGTTGAGGCTCGGCTCCCCAGCGCCTTGGGAAAGGGTCACTCATCACTGCCCTCATCCCAGCATTCTGACTCCCCTCTAACCAGGGCCTGAGTGGAGGAGGGAGGCCCCAGGGGCCAGCGGGTGGAAGCCACATTCCTGGAGTGTTAATGATCTCTGGGCAGGGCAGGAGCGGAGACCCCAGACCAGCTAAAAACAACAAACAGCTCCCGGGAGGGATTTGTGTCTGTCCCGAGAGTCAAGGATTTCCGACACCCGGATGGGGGTTGTGGCCAGTGGGGCTCTTAGCAAAGAAATTCCCCAGAGACCCGGAGCCCCCTGACCCCTAACCCTTTCCCTCCCCCACCCTCCTAGGGAGGCCCCGCACCCCTGACACTGGGGAGGTGAGAGGAGGGTCTGGGTGAGTTCCTTTCCTCGCCCCTCTAATCTCCGTCCACCAGTCCAGCGAACGATGCTGTTCCTGGCATTTTATCGCTAAGGACAACACGGCTCTAAGAAAGAATATGCTCCAAACACATCTGATCCAAGGAATGGGTCAATGAGTGAGGCTGCGGCTAAGCTGGGGCTGGGATCTGGGCTGGCCTGACCCCAACTGTAAACCCCACCTCCACTGCTTGGTCACCCCACAGGCATGGAAGATGCTTGGAGGCCCCAGAGCTCTCAGGAGGCAGCCAAGGCCTGGCCCTGAGGGACTGTGGAGGAGTTAGAAGGGGCAGAGTGCCCAGGACTGGTGCCGGGCACACTGTAGACCTCAGGTACCTTTCCACTCGGCTCAAACCTTCCCACCCTGTGCAGCCTCTCTTGGTCCCAGGCAGTCCAGAGTGACCCCCACCACCATTCTCCCTGCTAGTCCCCTGGACGTAAACAGTATGGAATCTACCGAAATCCCTTTCCTACTCTAGTTCCTTGCAGTAAGAAGGGGGTTCCTTCTGCAGAGTTTCAATTCATCCCCGTTGTCCAGCTTCCTGCCCTCACATGCTCTTCTGCTCTTTCCTCTACCCTTCCCTCCGGGCCCCCAGAGGGTCTGCCCCTCCTGAGCCTGGTCCGCCTTTTCCTTGGGGGCCTTCCCATAAAATCCTCGCCTGGCCATCGGCTTGTTCCCACTGTGTTTCCCTGCCCCCACCTCTCCACCCATGATTCACAAAGCCAGGCCTTGATGCTTTAAATCCATCGTTTATTGCCCACAGTTCATTAGTATTACATAAATCACAGAGGTTGAGAAAGTTTCTGAGAAGGTTAAAAAGACACTGCAAAGTAACCTGGGTATGACCGAGGCCCAGGCCTGGGAAACCATCTTGCTTCTGTCCACCGGCCTGTTTCCTCCCAGAACCCCAACCTTCTGCCAGGGGAGAGGCCAGGGCAGGAAACAGCCCCCGCCGCCTCCTCTCCAATCAGGACATGGAACGGGATGCTGGCCATCCTGACTCAGCAGCCATCCTGCCATCTTGGGCTTTTGGTCCCGGCACATGCAGACTGCTCTCTGGAAACGGGACAGGGGCATCCCAAGCCTTCAGGAATGTTTGGAGTCAGTGGTCGGCAAACTCATCAGTCCACAGAGCCAGATATCAAACAGTACAATGTTTGACATTTCTTTTGAGAGCCACGTTTTTTAAATGTAAACTTCTTCTAATGCCACTTCTTCAAAATAGACTCGCCCAGGCCGTGGTATTTTGTGGAAGAGCCACACTCACGGGGCCAAAGAGCTGCATGTGGCTCTTGAACTGCAGTTTTGAAGTGATCAGACGAGGGCCAGGCAGATACACCGGAGCCGGAGAATCAGCTGCAGGTACAGCCTGGATTCTGGCTCCGCTGGGCCAGCCCTGCCCTGACTCAGCCTCCTCCCCAGATGTGAAACCATCTTCCCATGAGGCCTCCCTTCCTCTGGCCTCAGCCGGGAGGGGCTGGATGTTAACGGAAAGTCTCCCCTCGTGGTGTTTTCCGCAGCCAGACCGGGGCCTAGCTGCACGGCTAGCCAAACTCTGTCACCATCACCCTGAGCTATAAGGATCCTTCACCGCCACCATCCTACCAGGAGGAGCCCCTCTTCCCCCCAAGTCACCTGAAACTGCGTTTGGGAGCATGCCCGGAAATCATCTGGGGGATAAAGTAAACAGGTTATGGGATGCAGAGGCCACGGGGCTGGGCAGGGGCAGCCATCCCAGAGGAGAGATGGAGAGATCCCATCTCTGCCAGGCCTCTGGAGGGGGCGGGGGTGGAGCTGGGGTGAGCGGTTTTGGTCCCAAGGTAAAGTGCACAAGAATAAGACCCAATGAGAGGTGGGGGGAGGGGGTGAGCCTGGAGTGAGCTTTGCAGAAGAGGGCCCAGGCCTGCCCAGGCCCCAGTCGCTGCATGTTCACATTATGGCGGGAGTAACTGAAAAATACCTGTCCGTCCGACACCCTGGCAGCCCTTCCCTCTGCTGCTTTGTCTTCCATGCTTGTCTCTGCCTTCTCCCCGTGCTGATGGGCAGCGGGCGGGCTGCTCCTTGGGAGAGTGGGGCCCTCAGGGCTCACCCTGCAGAGCTAGGGGGGAGGCTCCAGGGCCCGGCTGGGAGGCGAAGGCAGCAGGGGCTTCTGGTGGGGTGTCTGCTGCCAGTGCCTGTAGGAGACCCACCTCACCACAACTCCCCCCGCCCGAGGGGAGCAGAGCCTGTGGCCGGGCCTCCGCTGCCCGCACAGCCCTCCCCTGCATGTACCTGTCCACCTCCAGCCACGCCTCTCCCCTGGAGTCAGGCACCAGGGGAGGGACGCCCCGAGGCTGCAAGTGGAAGGCTCATTCCAGTTGGGATCAGGTGAGAGGTACCTTGAGGCCCAGGCGTCCTCTTTTTGGGGCTTTTCAGATGAGAGGATCCCCTGTTCACCCCACCCTGGCCCCGACTTCCTCTGCAGAGCTCTCCCCTTTCCTGGCCCGCCCTGGGAGGGAGGCAGCAGTCAGCAGCCAGCAGCCAGGGAAGGGTGAGAGGCGGCATGGGGGTGTGGCTCCAGCCCAGGCATCCATACCACCTCCTCCTTCACAACTGCAAAGTGTTTGGCAAAGGTCCAGCGCTCCCAGGATTGGGGCGGTGGGGCGGGGGGGGGGGGGTGTTACATACAGAACAGCAGAGTCCGGGTGCTCAGGCCACCTGCTGGCCATGCCCAAAGGGACCCGCCCCTTCCCCAGTCCAGTGTTCCTATTGGGATGCATCCGGGATGACCAGCATCTGAGCAGGACAGGCAAGACGAGATCTAGCTGGACGCGCAGGTGGGAATCTCTTGATCCAGTCCTTCTGGTTCCAGACGTGGGGGTGGAGGCTCAGAGAAGGACGTGGGCTTGTCCAAGGTGACGCAGCCAGCCAGCGCCAGCGCCAGCGCCCGCTTTGATTCCCGGGTGGATGCTTCCTTTCCGATAGGTGCCTCGAGCTCTGGCCTTTATACTCTCAGGCATGGGGCCCTCCTGTTCCGTGGCAGTCAGCCTGGCTCCAGCCTAATGCCTACATTTGGCCCTGCCAGCTGCCAGCCTGGTGCTGGAAAGGAAGATCTCCCAGCAAAGGCCAGATTGCATGCCCCTGGCTCCTGCCCACCATCATTCCTTCTTGGAGCCTCCTGCCTGGAGCTGGGGTCACCTCAGGGGCCTCCCCGATGTCAGGGCTCCATGAAGGGTGATGCCAGCCAGTGCGGCCTGGATCTTGAAGGCCGGCCACACGCAGAGGTGGCTTCCCATGGAATCTTCCAGAGGCCTCCGGTGCGCCTTGGTTTCCTGGGCCACCTCCTGAGGACCTCAGTCATCGCTGGCTCGTCCTGCGAGGTGTCAACTGCCCCCCCCCCCCCCCGCCTTCCCGACCCCTGGGCACCCAGGGAGGCATCTGTCTTGGCCACAACAATATCTTCAATCTACCAGCCCCGCCACCACACCAGCCGGCTCTCAGCCTCCCCTTACTCCCATCACCAGACCGCCTGCTAGCAGCATGTGAGCGGCTGCAACCAAGGCTTGGTTCTGATAAAAAATAAAAAATAAAAATAATAAAGTAGAAAAGGGACCCTAATTCTACCCTGTGGGCACTCTACACTTCTCCAGCTTCTCACATCATTGTGCTGAGTAGAGTTTCGGCAACCCCACGTAAGGCCCAGAAATGCACTTGATTATTTTTGTAGGAAATGTGTCAGAATGCCTCTCCCTTAGGTTAACAGGTGAATAGATTAGTCTCCCTACCGCTGCGGATGGAGACCCCCCGCCCCCAGCTCCCCGGGCTGGACAAGGCTGCGCCCCCGGCCAGCCGGCCACCACTCACAGCCCCTTGTTGTACACCACTGTCCGGCTGCTGGTGGCCCGGGCAATCTCAGGCTCTAACTGGGATGTTTCGATCTGAGGAGAGAGAACAGAGGGAGGAAAGGTGAGGGGGCAGGAGAGGGGAGGGGTGAGTGGGGAGGCTGGGAGTAGCCATTAGGACTACGCTGGTGCCCACAGTTGCCCCTGGCACCCCATCTTTAATTTGTTCTGCCCTCCTGCCAAGGGGCTCACGGTATCCCTTCCTGCCCAGGCCTCTTCCTCTGTCAGTGTGTCCATGCAAGAGAGCATCGTATGCTCGGCCTCTGAGTTCTGTTATTTCTCTCCAATACCTTGTCCATTGTGCTGCATGAATCCCTTCCCAGGGCCACACCAACCAGGGCTGCTCTACCCAAACTCCTCAAATCCAAACCCTACCCTCTCGAACCCCAATCATTCTAGCGCCCCACTCACTTACCCTGTTTGACCCCACAGACCCCTATCATTCCAGCATCCCATTTACTCTCCCTGCTTTTTTAAAAAATATATATATTTTTATTGATTTCAGAGAGGAAGGGAGAGGGAGAGAAACGTCAATGATGAGAGAGAATCATTGATCGGCTGCCTCCTGCACACCCCTACTGGGGATTGAGCCCACAACCTGGGCATATGCCCTGACCGGGAATCGAACCGTGACCTCCTGGTTCATAGGTTGACACTCAACCACTGAGCCAGGCTAACCGGCTCCCTGTCTGTTTTTAGGTCACAGAGATCTCAGGCCCCAGACTCTACAGCTCGGCTTCCCATTCTCCTCCCCCTCACCTGGACGTGAGGGGCTATCACTTCAGCCCCAGGTCCTTCCCGCCCTGACTGGCTTTGGAGGACACAATCATGCAGCCTTCTTGTCTCCACTTGAACCTGACCACCTACTGGACACATTCAACATCCAGGGTCCAGGACTTTGGCTGGATCCTCCCAGTAGCCAGCAGCACCCTCACCCCCTGGCCACATCGCCAGTCACCTCGCTCTCCAGTTCTCCACCGAGGTCACCTCATCCTCAGCTCCCCCCTCATCCTGAGCAGACGAGCCTTCTCATTACCTCAGGGGACAAAATAGAAGGCGTCAGAAGCAACCCATCTGCGTTCCATCATAAACTCACGGCCTACTGTGTCCACCTCTGCTCCACACCGGCCCTCCTGCTACCCCTCCCCTCCCCTCAGAGGTGTTCCCATAAGCTCCAGCTCCCCCTGTCCACTCCAGGAGCCCACGCCTGGATTGTCCTCCCTCTTTCCCATCTCCTTTGCTGACTCCTGCCCTCCAGCATTTCAACACAGACAAGCACCTTCTGACTAAGACAGACCTCCCCTCAACCCCACGTCACACTGGGTAGCTCTCCTCCCCAGCAACCACATTTCTTCAAGGCGCTATCTTCAGCCGTAGCCACCTCCACCTCCTCACCTCCCACTGGCTCTCCAACCCACAGGAAATCTGGCTTCAGTTCCCACCGCATTCCACAAAAAAATCTTTCTCTCCCAGGTCACTGCTAACCCCACTTTTTTGTGTGACATCCGTTGGACACTTTACAGGGTCCCTGATTGGGCCCTCTTCCCTGCTCACAGAACCTTCCCTGCGACTCCCAGATCTGAGGAGTCTCTAGCCACATTCCCCCCTGAGTCTTGGGCCCACAGCGGACTGCTTGCTAAACGTTCCTGTGATGTCTCGTAGGCATCTGAACTGACCCTATCTAAAATGGAACTGAACCTGTCCCAATCCAGCTCACCATGCTGCCACCTAATGGTACTCTGCCCAGGGACCCTGGGGCCCAGGCATAAGATGCCAGAGACCAGCGTTGCCTGCAAAGAACTCAGTCGTACACAGGCTGCACATGTCAGAGGCCAGACAAGGGGGGGTTTGGTATGGACTAGGGCAGTGGGCATAGCAGAGTTTCTGGAGAAGGGGGGCCCTTCCCCTGTAGTCCCTTGTACCCCAATACCCAGGCTCTGGCCATTTGAGAGGACCAAAGAGACAAGAGCCAGGTTCAAGGCCTGGGCCTCTTCCCCACCCCCGCTCCCCACACCACCTCCCCCGTCCCCACCCCTGCTGGCCTCTGAGTTCCCTCCACTCCACCCGCTCGCCTCGTCCCCACGCTGCCACTGACACAATGCACAGCGCCCACGCTTAAAAATCTAAATGCTTTTGAAAATGTTTAACCTAGTTAGACAAATTAGCAAAAATTTGTGCAAAACAATTTAGGTATTTAAAATATTCAATGTTTTTAAAAAACTGGAAAACTGTTCTTAGCTTTCAGCTGCAAAAACCAACAAAATATAACATCCCAGCAATCTTACCATGAGGTGTAACATAACCCTTCGGGAAAGCTGTTAAACAGCTACTGAGGCATCCTGGGAAATAGCACTTCATTTATTCAAATGCACATATGTCAGGCTTTTGCACCATATGTCATTCCAAGCTATTTACAGTAATAATTAAATCTTAATCAACGTTTAACCTCTGTAAAATGTTTGAAGAATCCTAATCACCCTTCAGACTGCACTAATGAAGGAGAAATATATAAACATAAAAGGAAAATGATGCATAGATATCACGCTGGAAAGAACAGTAATTGCAAAATTGTATTTCTTTTAAATATAATCAGTAAATGATGTAAAGTAAGCCAAGGAGTATTTTAAGTTAAGACATCTTGGATGTCAGAGGTGTGAGCAGCTAATTTTGTTCTGCTACCCATAACAGATGTAGCATATTTTATTTTAGTGCCATTATTAGCAACTTCCCATGCCGGCTTTCACTGAAGCACCGAGGCCCGCATGGAAATCGCAGAGAGAGGCTGCCGCTCACCACCCCAGTGGAGGACCATGGGCCATGGCCACGGCCACGGCCACAGCCACGGCCACTCGGCTCACTCCCTGGAGAGGGACTGGCCCCAGTGACCCTCCCAGTGGAGGCCATCACAGATCCAGCACCCCCAGGCTCCCCCAGGCTGTGCTGAGGGCAGCTGGTGGGAGGGAAGCATGGGGGAGATGCAGGCAGTGGGAAGGTCCTGGGGGGAGGTGACTGGGGCACGCAGGAGCAGGGTGTGGGGACAGAGCTGGCAGGCGAGGCTCTTCCTCTCATGTCGACGTCATCAGCCCTCCAGCCAGATGTTTATGGCTGCCAACGCCATGCACCAAGGCTGGGCACACAGCACGGGAGAGAGAAGATCAGCTCCTGCCCTAAGGAGCTCCACGTTGAGGGGAGGAGCCAGTGAGGGAAGCAGATGGATCCCAGGGAGACACAGCGCCATGGAAACTGGGGAGGGGGCGGAGTCAGCATGTACCAGTGGAAGAGCAAGGAAGGAGGGCTTCTCAGAGGAGGCGGGCCAGGAAGTACATGGAGGAAGGAAAACTTGCTGGGAGGAGAAAAAGCATCGGCTGGACAGCATGGCCTGCTTGCTGTGGGCAGTGTTGGGCCTGTGGGGTTCGTGGCAGGAAGTGGAGGTGGAACAGTCAGGCGCTTGAAGCCCGTGGTGACGTGTCAGCATTTTATCCGAGGGCAGCAAGGCTCCGGGGAAGCATTCTGGGCAGGAGTGGGCTCCCCTTTAGAAAGGTCACTCTGGTGGCAGAGGGTGCGGAGGAAGGACCGGAGGAGCGGGCGGCAGCTGTGGGATCCAGAGCGAGGTGCCAGGCCCTGCCCTAAGACGCCGCCATCGCGGCTCAGAGAAGAGCAGGCACTGGGGATCCTTTCTGAAGGCGAAACCCATGGGAGTTGATGACCAATCCCACGTGGGGGGAAGAGGGAGGTGTGGAGAATGACTGTGCGTTGGATGATTCCTAATTCTAACTCCGGAGCTGGGTGGCTGGCTGTGCCGTTCTCAGAGGCAGGGAACATGGGAAGGGAATGGGGAGGGGGTTGGATCAGGCAGGGTGGGAGGTGAGAGGCTCAGGGTCAGCTCTGATGGGCCTCCCAGCCAGAGAGGCCTGAGAGGCAGGCAGGTCCCAGGCTCCCTGGGGCTCCGGCCAGGGGTCTGGGCAGGAGGACGAGCCGGGATGTGCGCACAGCCGGAACCCTGGGAGTAGAGGAGCATGCCCAGGAGAGCAGATGGCAGGGGAGGGTGCCAGGCCTGGGGAACAGGCACAGTGTAGGGGCGGGCATAGGGAACAAGCCCGTGATGGCGGCCTGAGGGGGATCAGCCCAAGGAACAGAGGCAGCCAGGGAAGAGGGTGCCACAGACACCGGGCTGAGAGGCGGAGGTCTTGACCTTGGGTTTGGTGACCTCTGGAGCCCAGATTTCCCAATCTTCACTCAGGGCTGACCCCGGGCACAGCCTCTCCCTCTGTCCTGGACCAACTCCACTGGCCATGGCTGAGGACCCCTCCAGCTCTCTGGCCACAGACGGGGGTTGGCTCAGGGACCCACCATCTTCAGGTCTCATGGGTCTGGACCACCAGGAATCCTCCCCGCTGGGCTAGCAAGGGAGGCAGGGGCAGGGACGCCTGGGCTGTACCCCCCCTTGACGATCACCCGCCTTCGATGGGAGGCTGTCCCCTCCATGGACACCACACCCAGGGCCCTGCTAGTAACGAAATGTGACGCAGGTCCTGGGTGAGGGCAGTGGAGCGCCCTCCGGAGTCCCCGAGGCAGGGACACAGGGTGGTGCTGTGCTCTCAGAGCCCCTGCCGTCTGGGGGGCTGGCGGGTAAGACGCGGAAGCCGGCTGTGTGTGCCACGTCAGACGCCATCAGCCCTCCAGCCAGCAGATGTTTGTGGCTCCCAGGCAGCTGTGGTGGGAGGGAGGTGCCAAGGCCCAGGAGGAGCGGGGGGCACAGCAAGGAGGGCCCAGCAGCTAGTAACAGCTAGATAAGGTGACCAGACGTCCCGCTTTTGGCGGGATAGTCCCGATTTTTAACAATTTGTCCCGAGTCCCGCGGCATTTTTAAAAAAAGTCCCAATTTCTTTCCAAAAATCGGGACTTTTTTTTTTTTTAACACGCGGAGGGATGCGGGACAAATTGTTAAAAATCGGGATGTCTGGTCTCATAAGCTAGAGCCCCAGGACGGGGACCTGGTTCTGACCACGGGAGAGCTCTGAGGGGCCACCTCTGTG